TAGACTCTAACCTGGCTACAGGAGTATAAGTCTCTGTATAATCAATTCCTTCTTGCTGGTTGTAACCTTGAGCAACAAGCATTGCCTTATTTCTTTCAACTTCTCCTTTTTCATTCAACTTATTTCTGAAGACCCATTTAGTTCCAATTATGTTGAATCCTTTTGGTCTTGGAACCAAATCCCAAACATCATTTCTTGTGAACTGATTGAGCTCTTCTTGCATGGCAATTATCCAGTCATTGTCTTGCAGAGCTTCATCCACAGAAGTTGGTTCAATGATTGACACCAACCCAAATAATGATGCTTAAGATGATCTGAGGAAGGATCTTGTTCTTATGGGGTCATCCTTCTTTCCAATGATCACATCCTCTGGGTGAGAGGCCTTGATTCTGGAAGATGATCCTCTAACAGTTGATTCTTCAGAAATGTTCAAGTTGTTCGTTTGAGAAGCAAAAAGAATTGCATCTGGCGTTGCTTCTGGTTCCTTCACTTGAGCTTTGTCTGCCTCTGAGCCTTCAGAGTCTGTGAGAATTACTTCTCTATCTGCAGTACTTTCAAACTACTTTGCCTTTTCAATGCCAAGCTTATCATCAAATCTAACATGTATAAATTTCTCCACAATCTGTGTTTCAGTATTGTATACTTTGTAGCCTTTAGAGCGTTCAGAATAGCCAAGCATGAAACACTTATGTGCTTTAGAATCAAACTTGTTAAGATTTTCTTTATTATTCAACATATAACAAATACATCCAAAAGGATGAAAATATGAAATGTTGGGCTTTCTGTTCCTCCACAATTCATAGGGAGTCTTTTCCAGAAGAGGTCTTACAGACACTCTGTTCTGAATATGACAAGCTGTGTTTATTGCTTCTACCCAAAAGTGTTTTGTATTAGTCTCGTTGATCATGGTTCTGGCCATTTCTTGCAGAGTTCTATTTTTCCTCTCTACAACTCCATTCTATTGTGGAGTTCTAGGACAGGAAAAATCATGAGCAATGCCATTTTCATTAAAATATTTTTCAAAATATTTGTTTTCAAATTCACCACCATGATCACTTCTGACTTTAATTATTTAGAAATCTTTTTCATTCTGGACTTGTTTGCAGAAGTCAAAGAACACAGAATGTGACTCATCCTTGTGTTTTAAGAACTTTACCCATGTCCATCTGCTATAGTCATCAACAATGACTAATCCATACTTCTTGTCTCTGATGGATGCAGTTTTCACTGGTCCAAACAGATCAATGTGAAGTAATTCTAATGGTCTTGAAGTTGAAACAACATTTTTTGATTTAAAAGACGATTTTGAAAATTTTCCTTTTTGACATGCTTCACAAAGAGCATCTGAGTTGAACTTCAACTTAGGAAGTCCTCTGACCAGATTGAGTTTATTAATCTGAGATATACGTCTCATATTAATATGTCTCAATCTTCTGTGCCAGACCCATTGCTCATCATTAACAGACAAAAGGCATTTAACATTTTGAACCTTAAGTTCTGAAAGATTTATTTTGTAAATGTTGTTCTTCCTCTTTCCATTAAATAGGATTGAGTCATCCTTCTGACTAACAGCTTTGCAACATTTGTTGATTAAAGATTATATCATAACCATTGTCACTTAATTGACTTATGGACAATATATTATGCTTTAATCCTTCTACAAGAAGAACATTAGATATAGAGGGAAGGTTACCATTACCAATAGTACCAGAGTCAATGATCTTGCCCTTCTGATTCCCTCCAAACTTCACTTCTCCTCCAGATTTAAGCTCCAGGCTTTGGAACATAAACCTTTCTCCCGTCATGTGACGTGAGCAGCCAGAGTCCAGGTACCATGACTGGCGTCTTGACTTTTCTACTAAATACATCTGCAATAGGGATAATCTTATCCTTAGGTACCCAGATCTTTTTGGGTCCTTTTTGGTTAGTTGCCTTGAAATTTGGTCTGAACTTTTGTCTTTTTACAACAATTTTGTTCTGACTTACTTTTGGCTTAAACACAGGAATGTTCTGATCAGAACGTGTGTGTTTAATGTCATTCAGATGACCAAACTTGAAATGAGAGTATAAAGGAGTTTTCTTAATCACAAGTTTATCAACAGGCATTGGATTTAAATCCTTTATAGAGGAAGATTCATATCCAATTCCCTTCATGTTGTTTCTGCTAACTCCATAGATCATTGAAGCCATCTTGCTTCTATCTATGCTTTTAGAAAGAAACTTCTGAAAGCTAAAGTCATATTCTTCTAAAATATTTTTGCATTTAGACTTACTTTTAGATTCAGAATTTTGTTGAGCTTTTCCAAAATTGACTTTCATTTTCAAATTATTTTCTTTTAACTCAGCAACTTCTGATCTTAACAGATTATTCTTAGAACCAAGATTGCATTTAAGCTTCTTGCCTTTGAGCTTAATTAGCTTAATCTGATTATAATTTTTCAGGACTTCTGATAAGACTTTAATAAGCTTTTCCCTAGTGAGACCAGAAAGTACCTCTTCTGAGTCAGATTCAGAATCAGACTCAGATTCAGGTGATCCTTCATTCTAATCTTCAATGCCTGCCATCAGAGCCATGTTGGCGCATTCATCTTCAGATTCTGATGAGGATCCAGATTCATCATAGTCATCCCAAGTTGCCATTATAACCTTCTTCTTTCTGTCAAACTTCCTCTTTGGCTTTTCTTTTAGAAGCTTTGGACATTCATTCTTGTAATGGTCAGGTTCTTTTCATTCAAAGCAGACAACTTCCTTCTTTCCAGATCTTTTTGGTCCAGAGGACTCCTTGCGCTGATTTGGCCTTTTAAAGTTCTTGAACTTCCTCTGCTTGTGCTTCCAGAGTCTGTTAATTCTTCTGGACAGCAAGGATAGTTCATCTTCTTCAGAAGAAGATTCTTCAGAGCTTTCTTCTAACACCTGCAAAGCTTTCACAGATTTGTTAGATTTTAAGGCAATAGACTTACCTTTCTTTTGAGGCTCATCTTCCTCAAGTTCAATTTCATGGCTCCTTAGTGAGCTGATTAGCTCCTCCAGAGTGATCTTGTTCAGATCCTTGGCAAGCTTCATAGCAGTGACCATAGGTCTCCATCTGATAGGCAAGATTCTGATGATCTTCTTCACATGATCAGCAGTTGAGTAGCCTTTGTCTAGAACTTTTAGACCAGCTGTAAGGATCTGGAATCTAGAGAACATAGTTTCTATAGACTCAGATTCTTCCATTTTGAACGCTTCATACTTCTGTATTAACGCCAGAGCCTTGGTCTTTTTAACTTGAAGGTTTCCTTCATGAGTCATCTTCAAATACTCAAACATGTCAAATGCAGTTTCTCTATTTGTGATCTTCTCATACTCAGTGTGAGATATTGCATTTAACAAGATTGTTCTAGCCTTGTGGTGATTTCTAAACTACTTCTTTTAGACTTCAGTCATAGATTTTCTGTCTACTTTCTTGCCATTCCCATCAGTGGGATGAACATGCCCATCTATGACCAAGTCCCACAAATCAGCATCATAACCAAGGAAGAAACTTTCTATCCTGTCCTTCCAATAATCAAATTTCTCCCTATCAAACATATGGGGTTTTGTGTTGATTCTGTCCCTTTCTTCATATCTGTTGTTACTGTTAGATGTTGAAGTTTCAGCCATAATAACAACCAAATATATATCAAAGTTTTTCTCACTGGATCTTTTTTGTCACTGTGAAGTGGTAGCACACACAGAACCGGAGCTTTGATGCCAACTGAAGGTGAGAAAATACTTAGAAGGGGGGTTGAATAAGTATATAGAAAAACTTAGCAATAAAAACTCAAGGATTTTTATCCTGATTCGTTGAACTCAACTACTCCAGTCCACCCTATCAAGAGTGATTTGCCTTTCTCAAACAAGGACTTAATCCACTATTTAATCAACTGATTACAATAGCAAGCACTAAGAACACTGTTCTTAGTCTTCTCAAGAACTACTGATCCCAACTGGATCTTCTTAAGGACTTTTACAATTAAATGTAAGAATAATACAAGTGTTTAAATTGCTTCTAATAAAGCTTTATCACAACTGTAATTTTACACTTAAGATTTAAGAACTATGAAATAAATTCAGCAAATGAGAATAAATTGTATGAGAGCTTTCTTTGAATTTCTTTCAATGTTTCGTCAACTGAATAAGAGTGATGAAGTCTTCCTTTTATAGGCAAAGAAGTCCAAGTATCTATCACGTTGAAGGTTGTGTACTAAAAGGTATGAGCCTTTTTGTCTTCACATCACATGACCTTTCCTAGAAATAGAATGCACATAGAAATCCTTTTTGTCTGTGTTTTTGTGTCTAGCATAAATGAGGAAATAGTCATTTGGCCATTCCAACGGGCATAAGTTTGAATTCTTCTTCAACAAGTTTCAGCAAATATCATCAGAGTCTAGATTGGTCAGAGTCTTCTGATGTTCATCAGAGTTTGCTGAATCAGAGTCTTTGCAGCATGTGTGCTTTTAACGTGTAATTAATCAGAACAGAGTTTGGGATCAGATCCTCAGTACTGGCAGCGTAGTACTATCAGGGTCTTTTGAAATAAACTAAGCTTGACACTCTTCATACAAAAGTCTTCAATGCTTCAGATGCTTATTGCTTCTGCTTCAGATCCTTCTGTAGCTTCTGCTTCAGATCCTTCTGTAGACAGCGCTCAGAATCTTCTGGAGGCAGCGTTCAGAATCTTCTAACAGATGTTTCTGACGCTTCAGAGCCTTGCATATTTTTCATGTTCAGATCTAATTTGCTTCCAGAATAATATTCACTCTAGTATCTGCAGCAAACATTCTCAAACAAATTTTAGAGTATATAATTCTTTAATACAAAATTTCATAAGAGTTATCATCAAAACATAGAGATATAATTAAGAATCAATCTATGTTCTAACAACAGGGTATTAGACAGACAAAATGCTAATTGATCATTTTCAGAACTAGATCTGATAGTATATTGTTCACTATTTTGCAGCCAAGCAATGGAAGAGGATGGTTACAAAAGCTACATTTGTTGGACCTGGTTTTACCAGAAAACCGCCAAAGTATGAGCGTTTCATTCGTCCAACTGGTTTGCGGTTCACTAAAGCTCACGTCACTCATCCAGAACTTAAATGCACATTCAATCTTGAAATTATTGGAGTGAAGAAAAACCCTAATGGCCCTATGTACACCTCTCTTGGTGTCATTACCAAGGGATCTATAATTGAGGTATTTATGTTTCCTGTTCTTCCAGTTAAGGATTATTTTAATCACAAGTTAAGGCATTGAAGTTGATCCTATTTGAACTTTTCAATTGTTGATAAGCAACCTGTTCCTAGGATTTAGTAAGCATTTTAAAATAGAAAACTAATTCTATTTTCCCATGTATGAACAACTTGTGCTTGTGAGATAATAATGTATTAGCAAGTTCAATCACTTGTGAGCATGCATCCCTCTCATATGCTAGGTTCTTTCTTAACAACTACCATTTTTGAAACTTTGGTGGTAGATGTGTAAGCGTTATCAACCTCAGTTGCTGATATATGCTGGGCATTTTCTTGCTTACTGTAATTTCAGGTGAACGTTAGAGAACTTGGTTTGGTTACACATGCAGGGAAAGTTGTGTGGGGTACGTTTATTTGCTACTAGTATTTTGGTTTATTCATCACGCTTAAATTTTAGTCGATAGTGATGTATCTTTTATTTGTTTTGTTTTGTTTTTGCCATGAATGCAGGTAAATATGCCCAGGTTACCAACAACCCAGAAAATGATGGTTGTATAAATGTTGTTCTACTTGTAAGCACAAGAAAATTTCAAGCCACAAAGTTTGATAATGACCTCTAGGTTGTATAGTGTCTGAAGATGCTGCCGTAGGAGCCATTGATAGATGATAAATGAATCTGAAATCGAAAATATGATAAATAAATGCATATAAATTCATTTAGCAAGCAAAGAAATGAATAATCAAGAATTAACTTCATATAAGATTGAGTGTAGATTGAGTGTAAGAAACATCAATAGTTATAATTGGCCTCAAATACACTCATACTGTAAGAAACATTTAACATTCAGGTTTTCTTGCCTTACTTCACACGATGTTAAATTAGCCCAGTTTCTTGAAAAATAAAATGATATAAACAAACACAAGGAAGTGCTAAAATTTTTAGCGTATGTTGGATATAAGAGCATCTCCAATGGTGCAATCCATTTTTAGGTTCTTTGTGGGACCCACTTTTTTAAAGCAACTCATTCAATTTTCACTCCAATGGTGCAACTCTAAAGAATCCATATTGGATCCCACCACTTTACTTAAAAAATATTATTTATATTAAATTTATTTTATTTAAAATTATAATTTAAATATTTAAATTTTAATTAAAATGATAATTAAAATAATAAATAAAATTTTATATCAAATTATAGTTTTTATATTATAAAATTAATATTTTAATATAAGAACCATTGAAGAACCGTTGCATATTTAAGAACTTTTCCATCTTGAAAACAACAAATATGAGTGTCATGTTGGCAAACCCACACTAAGAACTCCCATTGGAGTTGGTCTAAGTTTCACTCGCCGTCGAAATGGAGAAGCTACAACTCTAGCTTCTAACAAAACACATGCCTATAAAGTGTGTTTGGGAAAGAGAAAAATCGCATTGCTAATGCAGTGACGGTTGGAAACAAAATATTTGAGAGTTGATTCAACGCGTGTTGAGCGTCCTTGTAACATGATACTGATCACACGGTTGGAAACAAAATATTTGAGAGTTGATTCAACGCGTGTTGAGCGTCCTTGTAACATGATACTGATCACGAATAAAACGGTTGACATTCTTTAAAATACTGATCACGAATAAAACGGTCGACATTCTTTGAGAAATAAATTATCATCTTCTCCTGACTCACTTGTTGGCCAAACATTCTACAAAACTGATCCACAAAATGAACAACATAATTTATTTGTATATCCGAAGCCTTCCCCAAACAATCCCAAACAATAATAAGTCATTCGCAAACATAAAATGAGACACAACAGGAGATCTCCTTCACACCTTAAGCACTTTCCAATCCCCTTTATCCACCGCATGCGAAAAAAGATGAGGACATTCCAATCCCCCTTATCCACCGCATGCAAAGTATTAATAAATATGGAGAAATTGAATCTCCCAACAAATACCGCTAAGAGGGTGAAAATAATCTAATCTAGCACCAATCCACTCACTATCCATTAGTTTCCACACTAGTAACCACACCAATCCACTATACATTAGTTTCCACACTAGTAACCACATGCATAATAACGTTGATAGTCATTTCTCACACAATGCTTTATCTCATCCTCTAAATAAACTCCCAATCAAACTTGTAAGCTTTGGTGGGATCCACCTTGATAGCATAAATTTTATTAATTAGAGGGTGCAATTAAGGAAAATCAACTAAAGTAACTTCGAAAATTAAACAGTTTTTTCAAGACATATTCTTAGCAAATATTCATTGGATACCTAAGTCAGTCTTATCACGTGTTAACAAATGTACTAATGGTTCATCATTTAAATTTTGCAAAACATGACAATCAAACATTATTCCCACAACAAAAATGTAGCCACTTAAAGTCTAATATTACTTAATCATAAACCTGTGTCTGATTCTTGTCAATAGTTTACCTTAAAGTGCTAGAACTGATCACTATTACATTGATTATCCAAATAAAGAAAAAAATGACATTCTTCAACATTCATTATCCCAATCCAAACAACAAAAATTTCTCATGTCTCCATATCAAAAACGGTGAGTACAGCTTTCATCAAACATTTGAGGGCGGCCGGTGGTATAATCATACGCAAGACTAGAAAAAACAGGGCAGCGGGACTTGTCATACAATTTTTTATCTGACTTTAAACAAGTAGAACAGCATTTATACAACCATCATTTTCTGGGTTGTTGGTAACCTGGGCATATTTACCTGCATTCATGGCAAAAACAAAACAAAACAAATAAAAGATACATCACTATCGACTAAAATTTAAGCGTGATGACTAAACCAAAATACTAGTAGCAAATAAACGTACCCCACACAACTTTCCCTGCAGGTGTAACCAAACCAAGTTCGCTAACGTTCACCTGAAATTACAGTAAGCAAGAAAATGCCCAGCATATATCAGCAACTGAGGTTGATAACACTTACACATCTACCACCAAAGTTTCAAAATTGGTAGCTGTTAAGAAAGAACCTAGCATATGAGAGGGATGCATGCTCACAAGTGATTGAACTTGCTAATACATTATTATCTCACAAGCACAAGATGTTCATACATGGGAAAATAGAATTAGTTTTCTATTTTAAAATGCTTACTAAATCCTAGGAACAGGTTGCTTATCAATAATTGAAAAGTTCAAATAGGATCAACTTCAATGCCTTAACTTGTGATTAAAATAATCCTTAACTGGAAGAACAGGAAACATAAATACCTCAATTATAGATCCCTTGGTAATGACACCAAGAGAGGTGTACATAGGGCCATTAGGGTTTTTCTTCACTCCAATAATTTCAAGATTGAATGTGCATTTAAGTTCTGGATGAGTGACGTGAGCTTTAGTGAACCGCAAACCAGTTGGACGAATGAAACGCTCATACTTTGGCGGTTTTCTGGTAAAACCAGGTCCAACAAATGTAGCTTTTGTAACCATCCTCTTCCATTGCTTGGCTGCAAAATAGTGAACAATATACTATCAGATCTAGTTCTGAAAATGATCAATTAGCATTTTGTCTGTCTAATACCCTGTAACATGCTGACACGGCATTGAGACTATAGAAATAAAGACAGCATGACACCTTAACATAAATTTGGGTATCATAACCTATAATGAAGTAAGAAAATATAGACTTGCTAGCTACATCATTTAAGGGGAGAAAACAAAGAATGATAAAGACCATATCATGAAGATATAGACTTTCTGGCTACAACAATTAAGGGGTGAAAACAAAGAATGATAAAGGGGCGTGGTATGCAACAAGGAAAATAGATGACCATCATGTACTTGAATTCAACAACAATGTATTTCAATCATGTAGCACTAATTTCATAATACCTGAAGCAATTAATGTAATACTTACTCTTCCTTTTACCAGTGCGGACAACTTTGAACATTTCATCTTCAGCCACTGGACGCACCTGAGGAAAAACATACACGTTATAACTCAAAAAGAGGAACATTGCCTCCTGCCTCCCTTGATCCTTTCCTCTGAGGAAAAGCAAATTGCAGAATAGGAATTGGATGCAAATTAAAATATTGAATACAATCTCACCTTAGGTAGAGGAACATCCCATTTCCCAGCCTTCTCCTTCCTCTTTTGCTTAATGGTGTTGCTGAGAATCTAAAGATATAAAATAGCCACATCACTTCCTAGAGTGTGCAAGATAATCAAGAGCCAAACTTGTCTTCCAATACTGTATGAGTGACATACCTTTGCTCTGGTCGTGTTTTCACGATCCAGAAGATACGCAGGAACAGCTCCTTCCTGAACATTATCATCAGCCTTGCGTCTGGATGTTGATTCTTCGTGCATGGCCAAACTGTTGACAGACAAGAGTGAAATAGTTATCTCAAACAATTAACCAACAATTCAACAAATCTATATCGATGTAAACCTACTGTGCTGACTATTATCAACTAACAACTCTTGAATAAACATAAAAAATGCAGATTAAAGAAATCAAGTCGAAATTTTTTTGACATAAAGACAACGAATATAACAAATTAAAATTTTAGATGCTAAGCAAGGATAAATAGTAACAAGAGAAAGAGGCGGAAAGAAAACTCACGTCCTCTTCATCTGAGCTTTTTCGGCATAATTTTTCTTTGCAATCATCTTGCCCTTAATACCCAAAGTCTGTTCCAAACAATTCAAATTCAAGCAGAAACTCTTTTAGATTTATGACACTATACAAAAACATAACTTGTTTCAATAAAAGTAATTTGAATCAAAACATTTCATAGAAATTGAGAAACAAAAAGGTGGTTGGGGGGTCAGTGAAACCTTCTGGGCCGTTTTAGAGTGCTTATGAACATCACGGGCCATCTTCTTGCGTTTGCGCTCAAAGTGATCGAGACGGTAGCCATAATCCCGTTGGAAACGGTCCATATAATCTCCTTGAGGCTAAAATGATACGAAAACATGAGAAACTATAAACAAATAACATAAAATATAAAAGAAGAATAAGAATTACTTGTGAAATTAAAAATAAAAAAAAAACATAAACAGCTACGAACCAAGACGTACGAAAATTTAAGCAATCAATTTAGTCAACTGAATGAAATCTTAAACAATTTAAGGGAAAGTAAACAAACCATCTTTGTGTCTTGAAAATCAACTCCAAGTAATCACTAAAAACACAGAGCTGGTGCGGAAAACTTTGAAGAACTCTTACTTCACCTGAATGAAGAATGTCATGATAACCATCAATAATAGCATAATACCATAACAACTAATGAACAAAAGATTCAAATTTTTCCACCAAATAATGTGAAACTAACAAAGCAAGTGTAACAAATCAGAAAATGAACATAACTGAAAAACACAGAAAAGTGAGTTGCTAGTTCAATGAACATATTCAATATTAATACTAACTAACTGTGTCAAATAGAAGCAAATATCACACCAGATCGGTGGTGTAATCGTGTTAACCTAATCAAATTGAAATTCCAAATGCAGAGAAAAAAATGAATTAGATACGCAGCAGAAGATCGTGTAAACCAAATGAAAGTTTCACAGACCTACGTGAGGAACGGTAGAGAGAAGCCGAAGAAATTTGAGGATTAGGTTTAACGATTGATAAAGAACGTTAGAACAGTGAAGCGAAAAGGGAGTACCTTTGTGATTGGCGGTGGCAGAGTCGCTAGTCTGTGTAGAACTAGCTTGCAGGGGATTGTTATGAGAGGCGGATTTAGGGTTTATACTTTTTTTCTTTTTATATATTTAGAATCGAATATGAAAAAAAATATATATATATATATATAAATAAATATTGTCTAAATATTTTATATCTATACTTTAAAAATAAAATAAGGATACTATTTAAACATTCCATATCAAAAAATTATTCTTTAAAAAATTCAAACATTTCAATTTTTAATGTCATATTTTTTTATAAAAATTTACTATTTAAAATTTTAAAAAGTGCCCTGAGAACACCGGCTAGTATTTCTCATTAAAATAATTATATTTTGTCGCGTGTCTATGACCGTTTGAGTTGATCTAAGATGATTTGAAATTTAATTCCCAATTATCGAAATTTCTTTTTCTTAAACCAAACAGAGACGCTATTTTTCTTCTCCCTCGCTTCGGTGCAGTGCAGCTCACTACACAGTACCCAAAAGGTTTTCTTTTCTTTCTTTCTTTCCATTTCCCTTTCAATCCCCAAACCCTAACATTCACAACGCGATATCTCAACTCATATTCACAATCACTGTAAACATTGAATTCTTCATCAATCAATTGTTTTCTTGATGAAATAATTGCACTTTACTTAGTATTCTTGATATCTTTTTTGCTTTGTTATAATGATTATTATTTGCTGTTACAGTTTTATTGAAATCATGGCAATGGTTGCATTGAAAAAAAATTGAATTCCATTCATTTCTGGAAAAAAAATGTGATAAGGAATTTCAAGGTGGTTTCTTGTATTGGTTTATTTTGATTGCTAGGTTTTGTGAGTTTGTACCACTGACTGTGTAGTAAACAAGTCAAAGAAATGGGGTTTGTTTATATATTTATTTACTTACCCCTTCAGGTTATTATTATATATTTGATTTGAGTAAAAATCGGTTTGTGGTCGCGACGAAACGGTATCGGCAGGTGCCAATATCGATACTGTTAATCACCGTTTTTATGTTATAGAACAAATTATAGTTAATTCACGTCGCGGCGACCGCATTTAGTGTCGCAACAGCTGTACCGACCAAAACTGCAAAAGCCTTTACACGACCGCAACGTGACCACGACCGGTTTTTAAAACCTTTGTGCTTGTGAATTATTGGTTCGTCATCAATGTGTGTATTGTTCGAATAAACAAATGTTACCGTGTTACTGTGATAACAGTAGTGAGGGATCAAGGTTTCCTGCCGTCGGGATATCCTGATTTTGTGTTGTCAATATGTTGGTGATAATTTGTGCGAGACTGGACAGTATGGACTTTGAGTTTTCAGAAACGTAAAAATCTTAATATACTGCTAGTTGTTTAATCTGAATCCAACAATGATCAGTACACAGATCGTATGAATGCATGAATTTTCCTATTTGCAACTGCAGGGGAATCTGTGTTTAGGGAACTTCAATACTAATATTTGCTTTGACTATGATCATTTTTCCCTCTGAGCGAAGGGATGCTTTCCTGAACGTTGATAAGTTTTGTAGAACTGCACAATGTTCATGTTATACATCAACTATTGATTTATTCATTAATGGTTTGGGATGTATACTAAATGAATTGTGCTTACTTTAGAAGAGTCAAATTCACTCAACATTGTTTTTTTTCTTTCTGGAATTTTTAGTTTCTGAATAGTTTGGTTTTTGGTATTGAGAAATAGACTTTGTAATTACAATTGTTAGTTTTGAATCTGAAATTTAGAGGCTGAATAAGTATTATTTCATTTCGGCACCTCCTACTGATACACACTTTAGTTCTATAATAAGGCCTAAGTGGTACTGCATTTTCAATTGCTTAACTAGAAGCACTTTTGCATGAGTGCCAAATCTCCTAAAAACTTGAACTTTTATGTCGTGGCCTTCGAATGATTGAATAGTTTATATTCATATAGCATGAGTAGAAAGTTTTCCCTCTAATAAAGAGTATTTTTTTTCCATATACTTTCTATACAGGCTAGTTTAGAAGGAAATGTTATAAGGCTCTCCATAGAAGATGGAACTGATCGGTTCTAGTTCAAATGCCCAGCAGAATGATTCTTCAAGGGGTTCGCATGATGCTAGCAAAAGTAACTTGACTGAGAAAGAAGACTTTGTAAACCCCGGTATGCTCTTTTCTGACAGATATTATCGATAGTTCTACTTTAGAAAAATAAGAATTAACATGCATTAGCAAACACTATCTCTCTAATGCTTTGAGTTTCTTGGGTATCTAAACACTTTGAACTTAGACAAATTTGCAACAAAACTCATATGTTTGTGTTTAATAACTTTAAATTAATAGGTTTTGCACACCTCAATTAATGTTTTCAGAGTAACATTGTAGAGTCCTTTGTTTTTCTTTGTTTCTAGGTAAGTCACGAGGCAACTTGCATATAATGTATGCCTGTGGCTTCCTATTAGGAAAATAAAAATATGGGAAAATAATAATATATGGAATATGAAATCATTTTGATAATATGAAATATAGTTTAAAAAATTGTTGTATTTTGATGTTGACTTATGTGAGACTCTTCTTAATCATTGATTTCTCCCCTGTCAAATGCAGTCCAGTTTTAGGCCTCTTAGAATATTCTCAACTATATTCTTGTTCTCATGCAGCTGAGATAGCATGGAATAAAATGAGGAAAGAGTGGATTGGTGATCAGTCAAAAAAACTACAGCGACCATCTAAAGATTCAGCTATATGGTACGTGCTTATTACTGATTTTCATTTATTCTCTTAATACGACTATTGAAAATAGGGGTTCTTCATTCAGAAATGTGTAGGCGTCAACCATATCGAACAATCAAGATTTCTATGGACTAATTTATTGACACTTTGTGAATTCATTCCATATTTTAGAAAATGAAAGCTATCTCTTAACTGTGCCTCTTAGCACTATACAAGTATGATGTATATCATGTTTTTCATTGTCTGGCTTGTCAATATTATGTGGAAATTTTTACTTCAGTAAACATGTGCATGTTGCAATAGCTCAACATTGGTCCTGACTGTACCTTCTACGAGTATCCATAATTCCATATCATATTTACCAAAATTAACCGAGTCATCTCTTTCAGCCTGACAGCATGTTCAGACGACATGCTTTTCTCTAGAGAACCTTTCTGTCCGCCTATACCATTACCTGTAAGTTCTGTGAGACACAATTTTTCCTTTTCAAATTGGAAATGCGTTATATTAAAAAATTATTTTGGTATGTTTGGGTTATGCAGGCAATGGTAGGCTATTTTGTTAAAATTTGGGAAGAGCAAGGTCTCTTTGAAATAGCTAACAGGTAATTTTCTGCTGTAAATTTCAGTAAGAATTTTGCACAATTTTATGTGCAAAGAAGACCATTACAAGCACATTGCTGAGAGTGAGACAGACCCGTTAACATGAGATTGGTTGAAGTCGTTGAATGATAATGTTATCGGGTTCTGTTGGCATCCAAATAAGCTGATTAGCAGTTTCTGCCTGCCGCAATGTAGATTTTTGGGTCGTTTGTGACCGGCTAAACATTACTCTTTGAGATACTTTTTTTTTTTTTTACAGTTTTGAACTTGAATGCGATCTCCATAATTACAAAGTGGGCAATCTCAGTATTTTGATGAAGATTAAAACAAAATAAAAAAAGTTGAACTCACACTGTTGTTCATTGGCTTTCTGATGCAATTGTATTCAACTTTGACTAATCACAAGTCCAAAAGTGCTCGAGTCGCGTAAAAGTAGTAGCCAAGGGCTTTTGAAGCATAATGCTGCTTGTGCAATACACCCAATGGCTCATAGTCATACTTCACTCGTTCTTAATTTGCGTTTGGATCTAATTGAATTGGTATACATGGCCCTATATGGATCCTTTTCAGTAACCGTAGAGTCGATGATTGAATACAGGCGAGTGCAGTTTGATTTTGCAAATAGGTCCAATGACTATCTAGATGTTGCACATGATTCAAATTCCACTTTCAGTGCTATTAACGAGTTGCTCGCAATTTTCGTATTTGCATGAGTCCTTGCACCTGTCTGATCCATTATTGGTTTCAGTTTACCAAAATATTCTGAAGAACTAGGGGGTGGTAAAATTATGTTTCGTAACCATTGAGAATGTGTTTGAATTCGGTAATTAAAAATTTTAAAAAAATTTAAAATTTTCAGCAATTTAAATGATTTAATTGAACTTCATTTATTTTTAAATTTTTTGTTTGGATATAATATTAAAAAATATCTATTAAACATTTGGGGTAATTTATACAAAATTTATAAATTGTGTCAAATTTAAAATTTGAAAAATAAAGACTCATTTATATTTTTTAAAAAATTAAAGGACTAATTTGCAAAATTTTGAAATTAGTAAGTGCTAATATGCAATTTATTGAAAAAATTTTGAGGTCAAATTTAAATTTTTGGAAAATATGAAGATTAACTTGTAAATTTTGAAATGATAATTACAACTAATTTGACATTGACAAGAAATCTTCTTGTCACCCCCAAATTGTACCTGGCCCCTTCCAAAGGTGTTGGGATTATGCTTTAGCCCTTGTGATAAATTATCGGATTTTAAAAAAGTTTTTTATAATTTTGGATTTTTTTATCCAATTATCGGATTTTTTTTTTGTAAAATTTCCCGTTTAGAAGTAGACTCACCGAATATATTGAAAAATTACCAAATATTTTGCAGAAAAATATAAAAATGACACACATTTTTAAAATTGTCGGTAAAAAATGAAGCTTTTATGAAAAAATTTTTGAAGAATTTTCAAAATTTTGAAAAATCCAAAAAGTATTTACCGAATATTTGAAAAAAAAACTAGAAATAAATTAAACCTACAAACAATTTGCTATGCACCAAAATTTCTAGAAATTTTAAAAGTTCGGTAGGCAGTAATGAAACTTTTGAAAAACATTTTTTTAAATCTTTTTAACAAAGTTAAGCGGGTAAAATATATACATTTAATGCAAAAGCATTATAATATCATTACAAAATAAATTATGTTGAATTTCTAGTTACTTTTTCCTAGTGTATAATATGTCTCACATTTGCTGACTCTCATACTCTTGCAACTTCACTATAGTTCTGTCTCCAAGTCTGTGACGAGAGACAAAGGACAATTGGGTTTCAACTTCACCTGCACCCAATGATTGTTGTTAACAAAATCAACTGAAATCACTTTGTGTCTACTTGACGTTATGCATGAAGCTATCACTAATGGGAAGAATTTGATGTTCAGATTCATGTAAAACGAGGCCAGTATAACAATGTATCTATAAGCAATAGGGTAACCCATATCAAAAATCAACATCCACTTCTCACGACCCTACACACAAAAGCCATCAACCCGCAATGCACTCCTAACTTTTGTCGTCGTGTCATAGAACAATTAAAACTACAATAGTCCGAAAACCACAATTTTTATAGTTTTCCACATCAATAATGTCATCAATGTACTAATGCAAGAAAATAAGTAATTGAGACAACTATTTTCATTTTAAAGACACGATACATGATTGACTTTTAGTTGCTTTTGTATATGATCTCTTCGTACTCTGACTTCCCTGTGAGTCTTCAGCATACTTCCACTTTGAAGGATCACGATGCACATCACTTTATTCACCCTTTTTACTCTTCTTATTTTCCTCCATTGGCTTGTACTTCACTGGTGGATGACACATGAAAATTATGAATGGATACGTTAGTTCTCACACTTTCTTCATCATCGCCATCTGGCATATAATATCCAATGTACCAAGATACTTCTTCAGCTCTTCACACTCTTCTTTTAAATCCATTTGTGTTTTGCTATCTTCTTCAGTAACCTCGTGCTCTTCAATAATTTTTTTCCAAAAGGCATTTATTGAGTCTAACGAAATAGGATTTCCTTGTATTTGATACCCTGCAAGTTCACACGCACAAGGTGATCCATGAGTTGTTTTAATGAAGAACCACATGTTACTTTGTCACAACCAACACATTTTATCCTTTCTAGATCCTTTACAATGTGTTGTATACACTGTCTTGAAACAAAGTCGCATAATATGGATTAAAATGGAGTGTTATACCGATGTTCAATATTGTATAAAATTTTCTAAAGTGACACTCGAATTGAACCTAATTGCAGCCTCAACATGGTGTTAACAACATCCTAACTTCTACATAAATCTCCTCTGCTACTTGACATCATATTTTTTTGTCTCCAACGAGCTGATTCAACCCTAAAAGACATAAATATAACAAAATGTCATAATTTGATAATTATCAATGTAATTGTTTATAATAACATCAATGTACATGTTGGTTGTTATGTTCTCTATATGAGTGACTCTATTAGTCCAAGCAGTTACAAATCTTTTTTTTATATGGTGTCAACCAAGTTTCACGTACATACTGAACAGATTTTGGAATATCAGCACATGCTCATGCTTATGTGATTTGAATATATGATGTTGTTCCACATATCCATAACATGCTCATGCTTATGTGATTCAACATACTCATTACACTTCATATTTTTTTGAAATATGGAACAAACATAGAAAATGAGTTAATTTTGAAAACGCAACTTTCACAACATTCATCAATGTCAGTTCACAGTCAGTAACCAAAATATTTGGTAGCAACTTCTCAGAAGCGAATAACTCTTTTAGCTTTTAAAGTGCCCACATGAATTTTTCCCCCCTTTCATGTTTCAGATATGCAAAACCAACTGAAAATTTCAATTTTGTGGATGTAACATCAACAATCTCAAGTTGTGGCAGTCAATACCTGTTTGTTTTGGACGTACATTAAATCATCAACAACCCCTAACAAATTTTGAAACAAATAAATTAAAATAGAAGCATTTAGCATAAGAACTACTTGTTTATTTTGTATGTGCAATAAAAAATCAACATAAGATGAAACATGTTCAACAACTTCACTGAATCAGGGTGCATCCAAAAGATATTAGCAATAATATTAAAAGAGTATCTATTTCTTGTCTAGTACATGTATTTATCTTCAAGAATAAGACTCAGCAGATATTGCATTTGAGTTAACGAAACTCTCTTGCTTGCATTGTATGTAGACCTAGGCCTTGTAGATTTTGGTAACGCTCGTTAGATTTTCTAGATCTCTATCTTCCAAAGCAACAACTATGTATCTGAAAATCATATTGTATTTGGTGATGTCATTCACAAATTTTCTTTCTTGATATTCTAAACAACCTAATACGTCATTCCCATTTAGGTTCTTATCTAGCATATGATTGTGAAGCCCACACCTGACCATAACCTTCCAGCCGCTTCCACTTGGCACAAATCTCAGCATAAATGGACATTTCCCTTTCATAGTATAATTCTTCTTATAATTTTATCCTCCCTCATAACCCATAATCAATTTATCTTTCATCCATCTTATACCATTTGCGGTATCACAACAAATAATAACAACAACAATACCATGTTGTTTACCAACGATTTGCGCTCATTCCAAAATTTCAGCCATAGAGGGAATATCTGACGTTTACAACATATACAAAATAAATTATCAATGTATGAGATATACAAAATAAGGACCGCACAATTATGTAAAAAGTAAACATTCATGTAAAACATACCTCATCAGTGGTGAAAAACTGAGTAAAATCAACTTGGGAACCACCATAAACATGACCACACAATTGGAGCATACTAAACTATTAGATTTTTTGGTTTTTACAAAAAATTTGGTATATCAAACTTTCCAAAAAAATCGGTACTCAACGCGTTTTCCAGATTTTTTCAAAATATCTGCTAAAAAAAACATCAAAAGCTTTACAAATTCCAGATTTTTTGAAAAATCCACTAAAACTACAAAATATTCCTGATATTTTTTAAAAATACGGAAAAAATCATGGTATTTATGAATTTTTCAAAAAAATCCGGCAAAACTTCTAGGGATTTCCAGATTTTTAGAAACATCCCGGTAAAATTGCATAGATATTTCGACTATTTGCCAAAAATCTGATAAAACATTAACGAATTTCTGGATATTTGGAAAAATTCCGGTAAAACATCATACCAGATTTTTAAATGTTCGATAAAATGCGTAAGCAAAATTTTTTGTATTGGATTTTTTAAAACAACTACCAGATATTTTGATTCTACCGGGTTTTTACAGGGAGAATTTTTTACTACAACGCAAAAATTTGAAAGATAAAATATTGTGAACGGTAAATTTGTCATTATGAAAAAATGTGTGGGTGCCACGTACAATGGGGGGGGGGGGGGGGGGGGTGCTAGGTACAATTTAGAAGGGTGCCATGAAGATTCCTCGACATTGATATGT